GGGGTGGTGATGGCTGAGGAATCTGTGCCTTGGGTACAGAGCCCAGGTCTTGACTACCAGGTGTGTCTTGGCTTAGTTTCTGGGAAAGAACTGTTTGGGAACACAGTCCCCAGTGGCAGAGGTTAGGGAAAGGGGAAGAGAGCCAGGTACAGGGGAGAGCTAGCAAGAAGACATGCTAGGGAGGCTGGGAGGCTGGGGCAGAAGGGCTTCTAGTGACTTAGAGCAACCTTGTCTTAAAATTAAAAAGGGCTGGGGATGCAGCTCAGTGGGAAGGCCCTGTGTTCAATCCTCAGTACCAGAAAGAGGGGAGTAAGGAGAGAGAGAGAGGAGGGAAGCCTTGCGAAATGCCAGGGATAGATCCACCTGCTATTCCACCCCTGATACCATGCAGAGACAGACCCTAGAGTACCCCTAGCGATCGCTTCTCAGGCTCTTGGCTGAGATCCATGTGCTGTCTGTCCTGTCAGTCTAATACCGGATCTGCCTCTATCCGATCGTGGTCCTGTGGAGTGCAGGGCTGGGAGATAGGATAGGAGCTCGCTCCGCACACGCCACACATCACCCTGGGATGGCAGCACTTTCAGGAATTGTGACCCTCCCCCAAGAAAAAAGAATGTCCCCAACAGCTTTACCCAGAGCAGGGCCAGCTGGAGTGGCCCAAATGCTTGTCAGCAAAGATGCAACAGAGCACTGCCCACCATCAACCTGACAGACTACAGCACACTCAGCTCGGGAGAGGCCTGCAGGTGATGCTATGAGAAAGAAGCCAGATCCACCGTCTGCCACGCACAGGGAGCTCAGACACGCATGCCAGTCTGGTGACAGACTTAAAAATGTCACTCCTCCTGAGGAGTGGCGATCAGAAGGCACACGGGGAGGCTGCTGGGTGCTGACAGTGCTCTGCATCTTGAGCAGAAACATTCTAGGAGCCCAGTTATGTACAAATTCATCAAGCGGGTAACCAGGGTTGGTGGTGCCTACCTACAAGTCGCCCAGCTACTCAGGAGGCTAAGGCAGGGGATCTCAAATTCAAAGGCAGCATGGGCAACTTACCCAGATTCTGTCTCAATTAAAAGGCTTAAGAAGTTCACTCAACGGCACAGCACTTGTCTATCACATGCCAGGTTTTGTGTGTGTGTGTGTGTGTGTGTGTGTGTGTGTATACATATATATTTTTTCAATGTATTTAGTACAGGGTCTATAGGGTCTCACTATACAGATCAAACTCATAATGATTCTCCTGTTTTAAGCCTCCCAAGTGCTGGGATTACAGGTGCGTGTGTACCACCATGCCCAGTCTCAATCACTACGTCAGCATGCCCTGGGGGCAGGGCTAGCACAGCTCTCTGGGGATCAAACCCTGGTCGCTACACTCTGCCTAAGTAGGCACTTTAGACTGCTGAGATATCCTGCTGGCCTTTACCCCCAGTATCGTAGGAAAGAATAATTCTTCAAGCTACAGGCCGGTACTATATGTGAGTTTTACTCTGACAAGGGAGGTGAATGAACAGGTAAACAGAGGCTTCCTGTGGGGTGCTTCCTGGTCCATAACTGAGGGAACGACTGGAGGGGTGTTGTTCTCCAGCCTTAGGAACTGAGAAGATTCCTAAGGCAAACTGCTTGGCCCACACTGTGCCTACTCAATAGCTGGGACCTGTGGGGACCCACCAGACCCTCCTCTTGGCTTAAAGATTGATTTCTGCTTTGCTTTGCTTTTGAAGACAAGTCTCACTATGTAGTCCTGGCTGGCTTTGAATTCACAGTGATCTTCCTGCCTCAGCCTCAGAAGTGCTGGGAGTACAGGTACATGCCATCATGCCTGATTTTGTTATTTTCTTTCTAAATTGTTTCACTCACTTAATTTGCAGACTACCCACTCTACACTCAAATTGGCAGAAGGGAAGTTTTCTGTCTCACCTACCTCTGAGCCCTGGCAGTGGCCAGAGGAGCTAGGATAAAGCTCAGGGCCCTGCTCCTCTTTGACCTGGCACTTCAAGGACACGTAACCCACTTAACTCCTCTCTGCCGATGGTACACTGGCCCTAAGTGCCCTCCACCCACAGGTGTGTCAGTTTTCAGAGGAGGGTGCCAGCCAAGCCCATAGGCCCCACATAACTCCAGCCTGCAGGGGCTTGGCTAAGAGAGTGGTTATTCCAGACTCCTTAGTTTCTTTGACCCCACAGCAAACTGGGAGGAAATCCTGCTTCTCTGTCTCAAAATGTACGGACAGTCAGACACTTTCCCCATCTTCTCTGCCCCCCAAATCTGACAGGGCCCCATCGCTCACCTCACCAACTTCTAGTTCTGCTTTGTTTTCCACACAGCCACCTGGGCGGCCTCCACAGCTCCCTCTGCCCTAGGCTTTAGGACACCTTGGCAGAGTCCCAGAGGCCCTTGATTGGGCTTAGTTCCTGGGCCAGGCCTGAGGCCCCAGACTAAAGACCAAAACGGAGTTTCCTGTGCCAAGTTCCACCTCACCAAGCTGCAACTGAGTTATCTGATCGAGAGAGAGAGAGAGAGAGAGAGAGAGAGAGAGAGAGAGAGAGACAGAGAGAGAGACAGAGACAGAGACACAGAGAGACAGAGTGAGAGACTGGGAGGGACAGAAACAGAGGGAGAGACCAATTTCCCCACAGACCAGTTTTGTTTGACATGATAAAGACTAAACTCTTACCAAGAAAACAAAAGTGACCTGACATGAATCAATCAGTCACTGTTTCCCTGTTCTCACCTCAAAAGGAAAATAGCCTCTAAGTGACCAGTCTACTCTTTTCTTTGGGCTTTGCTTTCCAGCAGTGCTGACCCAGAGCCCTGCCACTAGGCCTGCGCTCTGCCCCTGACTGGGCGCCCTCCCTCTCTGGTCTTTGTTTCTCCTTTCTTCAGCCTTTTTTTTTTTTTTTTTTTTTTCTGTCTACAAAATCACCTCCCACCTCTCAGCTGGCTGAACACTTACTTCATTGGAATGAAATGTGGCCTATTATAGAAACAGAGCCAGGTTAAGATTTTTTCATATGTGAGTGTAATACTGTGTATTGAACCCAGGGCCTTCACATTGAGTGACATCCTAGCCCTTTGTACTTTATATTTTAGTTGTATTTTGTTTTATTTATTTTGAGATGGGGTCTCACTAAGTCTCTCAATTGCTCAGGCTGGGCTAGAACTTGCAGTTGTTCTGCCTCAGCCTCCCAGAGTACAGAGATCGTAGGTGTGCAGCAAGATATTGGCCTCATTGAGATCTTCAGGCTCATAATAACTTGTCTTCTGATGGAGTAAAAGCTCTGAGTGCACAAAGTCCTCTGTGCCCTCACTCCCACCCTCCCACGGTCCCAGCCTCGCTGGCCCTCAGTGTCCCCTGGCCTGCCCTGCTTCAGCCTCTAGCGCCTTCTCTAGCCCTTCCTGCTGCCTGAATGCTCTTGCCCAGGTTCCTACTCGGCAGCACCTCATCAGCTTCTCACCAAGCCATGTCTGTGCTGCTCCGCTGCTCGTTGCCTGTAGAATCCACCCCCACCCACCCACCACATGTCTGTTACGTTTACTGTTTGCTGTCTCTTCCTTAGGAAGTTCTTTCTACCATGGCCGGGATCTGCTTTCCTCAGCGAAGAATTCCACGGGTCCCAGACAGTGCCTTGAGCATACCGTGGGAGCTTCGCATGTGCTTCTCAAACTAGTGAAACTGTAATCCCAGCCCTCAGGAGACTGAGGCAGGAGGATTGCCACAAGTTCAGGATCAGCCTGGGCTACATACTGGGTTCAAGGAGAGCCAGAACTACATAGTGAGGCCCTGTTGCAAACAAATAAACAAGCAAACAAACCAGTGAAACTAGCTGCCTAGGGTCAATCAGCACAAGCCAAGGGTGGCTGAAGAAATGGTCCAAGAACTTTCTGGACAATCTTGATACAGTCCCCAGGGCCCACAGCACCTGCCAGTCTTGGAAATTCCCCCAGATGCAGAAGGGGCCCTGACTGTTAAAATAAAGTCCAGCCAGCCAGGCCATAGATCACTGAAAAGATAAGGAGGAAAAGGAAATGGAAAAGAGTTGTCTCTGGCCGGGGTGAAAGGCGCTGGCTTCCTCTCAGGAGATTAAGCTCCGCTGGGACCCACCTGCAGCTGGAATGAGGAAACCCCCACCTGCCCCCCTGGGGTGGGGCCCAGCAGGAGGGAGGAGGCCCAGAAGATCATCTGCTTGCTGCCTTCCTCCCCTATCCTAATGGCATCTCTGGATCCAGGCCAGGATTTGGGTCCTACACAGTCCCCTCTGCCTCTCCCAGAAGAATCCTCTCATTCCCATGCCCTGGGACCAATGCTCCTATGTCCAGACAGCCTGGCTCCCATCTCAGTAAGAGGAATGTTCTAGAAGACACTGTCACACACCCACCACCTAACCCCAGAGTGCAAGTCCCAGGAGCCCCTGGAACTCTTGCTACTGAAGCTTGGATAGGGCAGACAACTTCACCAAATTCACAGGACTTCAGGACCACCAGGAAGGACACAGCTAGAAAGAGAACCTGGACATTTTGACGCAGATGTACATTTGTTTCTGACACTGAGCTTTTGGGACCCTGTGGTGCCCATCCACACATTTTGTCTGCCCCAGACACACTTTCTGGGCTCCCAGGGGACCTTGTCTGGTCCCTGGCTGTGGCCATAACAACTTGTGCTGTGGTTCCCTTGAGGGATTTCCTTTGGGCACTGAGCTAGGTCTCCTGGCCTTGTTCCTCTGTTCCTGGAGTGATGTGGAAGGGTCCTGATCCACTGCCTCTGCCCTCCTAGGTCTTTGGGCTCAGGAAAGCGCTTACCCTTCCCATCCCAGTACTCTTTCCTGACTAGGACACAGTCCTGGCTTAGCCTTGGAGGCAGAAGAGAGGGACGCTGGCATGGAAACAACTTGGGGATCACAGCCGAAGGGCACAGGCTGGGTGCTGGAAACCACCCAGTCAGCCCTAGGCAGGTGTGGCTCCTCCTCCCCAGGGAGGAAGCAGGAAAAGGTGACAGCCAGAGGCTGGGGTGAGGCTGCTGGGCAGAGGTGGCCGGGGCGCCAGCGAGGATGGGCTTGCTCTGCGGCCTGGCTCTGCTCCTTCTTCTCCTCTGCTGGGAGTCTGGAGATTTCCGGAGCTCTGCAGGTAAGGAGGTGCATGGCCCCCAGACTGTGCCCTGCTAGCGTATGAGTTCAGCAAGGCAGCCGTTGGCTCATTACAATTAACCATGGGCTACCTGGGCACTGCGATTCCTGTTGATAATGAGTTTGCAGGTGGCTGTGTGTGACACTCCAGGGTCTCTGCCTTAGTCTTTGTTCGTGTGGCAGCATGTGTAGGGTGGCCAGGAGGACCGGCTGGCAATCACTCTGCCTGCAGCAGAACCACGACTCTTCCAAGTTTCTTCTTACCTAGAAGCTTTTCTTTCCAAATACAGTTCTGGCGTGCTCTTGGTATGAATGCTGTGCCAGAATATGGGGACAGGGAGGATCTGAGACAAGTAGAGATTTGGTGCAAGAAGGGCACTCACAGCTCTGCCACTCATAGGAACCATGCCAAGCTCATCATAGACCTTTGTTTTTCTAAATCACAAAACTGTATTCAATATTTGAGATTTTATTGGTTGTGTGGAGGATCAGTACACATGATTCACTTTGTACACAATTCTTAACACACATACCAAAAAAAGCCATGTATTGTTTTTCAGTTGTTCCAGTGACTTTCCAGCTTCAAATTTAGAGGCAAATTTTCTGTAAGAGGATTAAGTATCTTCAAATGCTGACAAAGTGTTCCTTAAGTCCCACCAATTCACAATTTTGTATCACATACACTACATATTCAAGTTTTTTTATCTTTCACAGCACATTAACAAAATGAGGCAAACCAGACTACCACGACCAAAGATGTTATAGAGTGCATACGATTCTGACAGGGCAACAATAAGGATGTAGTTTTCTTTAGGAAACAATTCTACTAAAAACATGGGAATAGAAGTCATTTAAAGTATCCAAGACATATTAAATGCATGACTGTTATTCCAAATTGCCATTTAGTATGCTTTGTATCGCAGGATATAAAACTAACCCCCACCTTTGACACCCAAGGCAGTCAAAGCCTGCCATGATTCAGTATCTCACTATTTCTGGTTGTACTATCAAATAAACGACCAGAGAATGACATCACCTCTAAAAAATCATTTACACTTAAAAAATGCGATGAGGTGGGATTCCCTTCTTTTTAAAAATGTTTCTAGAGCTACTAAAAAAACTTGCATTTACAAAACATTTGATAAAAATATCCCTCTGGGTTGTACAAAGAGGGAGACAGGGAGCCCTGATAAGGCATGGTGTGTGATTAATCAGACTTGGCTTCTTCCTCTTCTGCTTCATCAGAGCCTGCGCTTTCCTCATTTTTAGTTTCTCCATTTTCTGCAGGTAAATCACCCTTGGTTTCTTGATTAGCCACTTTAGCCTGTTTTTCCCTTGGTCCCCTTTTTCCTTTTGTTTGCACTTCTTTCTCCAAAGATTTATCCTTTCCCATTGCCACTGTGGCTTTTGTTTCCACTTTAGCAAAAGTGAAATGTGGACAATGTGGACAACATTGTCAGTCCCCTCCTTCGCTGCCCCTTCCGGCCAAGCTGAACTTCCTCTTGGGCACCTTGGCAGCACTGGGGGGGAGAGTGCTGGGGGGGACAGTGGGGGACAGTGCGGGGGGGGGACAGTGAGGGGGGCAGTGTCTGGGGGGGCCGGGGGCGTGCAGAAGCTGCTGGGCTGAGGCACACAGGAGCCTTGCCATCATAGACCTTTAAAACAGACTTTTTATGGGGCAGATTTAGGTTCAGAGCAAGACTGAGCCGAGGCCAGGTAGTTCCCATGAACCCCTGATCCTCACTGCACACACTGTCTCCCCAGTCCACATCCCACCCTCAGAGATTGGTACACTGGTTACAACCCCCCCCCCCAAGGCGTGATCAAAATGGAGGGTGAATATTGAAACTTTTGAACCTGTATTACAGTGAAAAACACACTGTCATGAATTCCCCTAAAAATCTTCCCCATCCTGTTGAACACGCTTATCTCATGGCGGTTGCCGTTTCCAGAAGCGGTCCTGTGAGCCTTCTTTCCTGAGTGCCTTTAGCCGCAGTTGTGGCAACCTAGGTGCCCCGAACTAACGCGAAATGTTTCCCTGTCCTGGTCACTTTGACTTTAGGGAAGAGTCAGGAGTTGTAGGTGCCAGGTCCCATGAACAGAGCAGATAAGGACACCCAGGAATGATTTTATGAGCCTGCCTTTTTGTTGGGTGGTCACAGGTGTTATTCACTATATTGTTGATCATTTTGTAAAGATACTCAGGAAAAAGGACTTCCCAGACTGCCTCAGGAAGTGGCAAGCATGATGGAATAGGTGTGTTTGCAAGAGGCAGGACTCTGAGGGGGACCATGGCAATGTGTCTTTTACTGTGATAATTTTTTTTTAAAGATTTCATGTTGTTTCTGATCTCACTTCCTATGTTGGCGTGTCACCATCAAACTCATAGCCCTGTGTGTTGGGCACTGTTCTTGCCTCCTCTGCCCCTTTAGAGCTGAGGGAACTGAGGCTGACAGGGATGAAGCAATTTATCCAGGGTCAGTTTGACACCTCATGCACCCAACCACTGACCCACACTGCCGACCGCATGTGCTCAGCCTGCCAGGCTGGTGCTGCCCTCTCCATTCCAACCCCTTGCAATCAGTGCCCCGAGCTCCGTTTCCAGGCTGGGAGCCAGGACTGCAGGGTGGGCACACAGCAGGGCAGCATCAGAGAAGGAATTCATACCAGGTTCCACATCCACACTGTCCTCCCTGGGCTTGGTTCCCCAACAATGACTGAGGTAGGGGTGGGCTTTGCTTTATCCTGAAGAATCAGCAGGCAGGAGGTGGCAGGGTGGTGACAGCTCTGTGGTGCAGAGCCTATCGATTTAGGGTCAGCAAGGTGTTTTTTGCAGCAGAAATGACACCATGGGGCTCCAGGATAAAGAAGAAAATGTGTGGAGGAGGTCAGGGTCTGATGCCAAAGGCCTAGCATTGGGCATGTGGCTGTGTGGGTTGAGGCAGGAAAGTGCTGCTCCACACTGTGGGGACCAACAGGAAGCTCAGAGAAACACTAGGGCTTGGCAGGGTGATAGGAACTTGACCCAGAAGGCAGACACTTGGACATGTGTGATTTGTGTGGGCCCCTGAGGCAGTGACAGGGGTGCCTGTGGGGTGTGACCTGAAATTCTTCAGGATCAGAGTAGGCTGAGCTGTCAAGTGACTCCTTGAGGGGACCCCCCAGAGAGAGGGGCTTCCTAATCCCTTACAGGCTTTGGAAAATCAGAACATCCCCCTGTCCCCCATCTCCTCCTCTTTGGGGCCTTACCTAGAAGGCTGGTGTCCTGACAGTCTTTCTCCAGGGGACTTGAAGTACCTGTTGGCAGAGCACAAGGGCAGACTTTGGACCGAGATTCCCCAGGCCAGGGGGTGGCAGGTGTCCCTTGAGCCCTGGTCCATCTCTCCATGAGGTCCAGAGGAGGATGAGCCAAGGACCTGGGGCCCTGGCCTGGCCTCCTGGGGAGTGGTCCTGGGCCTCCTTTGGGTCCTTGGTCTACACCTGGACCAGCAGATGTCAGTAAACACCACCTCAGCCAACAGAGTGCCTAAAAGGTTTCACACTCGATCCTTCGCCTCAGAGCAGGGCTGTCTGGACATAACATGAGGCCTGCAGACACTTTTGTAGTTCCAGGAATACATTTTTTAGCATAAGAGGTTACATATGCTAAAGAAACACTCAGACTAAGAATTATACACTGTCTCATATCTAAGACAATTATTCTTCATCAATCAAATGCAGAATCAAAATTAACGAGCTATCTTGTGTTTTTATCTGCCAAATCTGGCAGTCTGCCCCAGGAAACCTGCTGGGCCGCTGCTCCGCGATGTTTGCCCCTGCTTGCTGTGCTCTTGACCTCTGTGGTTCTGGGTTCTGTTCTGCAGCTGCCAGGCTTCCATGCAGGACGGCCATGGGTGGGGTGAGATACCGTCTTTTCCCTCCCTATGGCCCCAAGGCTGTGTCCAGTGCCCCCAATTTTGCCCAGTGCACCTCCCCCCCACCCTAGAGCTTCCTCTTTCCTATCCCAGGTTCCTGTAAAGATAAAACCACAGAGCTTTCTTGTATTTTAAGAAAGTGCTGGGGCTGGTGAGATGGCTCAGTGGTCTAAAGCACCTACCTAGAACAAGCTAAGCAAAGCACAGGGACCGCGGTTCAATCCCCCAGCACCACATGCCAGCCAGCCCCGCCCCCTGGTGGGCTGAGCTGGCCACACACACGCGTGCACACACACACACACACACACACACACACACACACACACAAAAAATAAAAAAAAAAAAAAAAAAAATAAAATAAAAAAAAAAAAAGAAAGTGCTTCCATGGAAAAACATTTGGTGGATGAGAAAGTGTCCGTGGGAAACAGACAGGAAACTTTCAGGAACTTGAGCCTGGTCCCTGCTCTGCAGTTCTTGGTTCACATAAGCTTTCTCGTTCTTCAATGATAGACACGGGCCTCACCTGTTGCTCTGCTGGCTGCAGACCAGCATTACCTAGAGAGCTAGGCTCGCTGGTTCAGGTGTGTTGTCAGGGCTTCAGGGAGGCTGTGAGGGTGACCCCCTGCTCTGTGCTGCCCCACGGGCCTGGACTTCCCCGTTCCGCCTTCGCCTCCTTCATTTAGGTAGACAGACAGTGGGAAACAGTCCCCGACCAGCAGTGCCCACACCTAAGCCCAGGAGCTGTGTGGAGCCCAGCCACCCACACTCACGGTTCACCATGTTGGTCTTATCCAACACAGATCCCAGCCCCAATGGGCCATGCCCATTTAGGACAACAGACACCACCAACATGCTAACTGCAATGCCACGGATCAGCAAGAGCTTGGAGGGAAGCTTCCAGACCAGAGGCCTTGCTCAGACCACAGAGCCAGCCCAACTTTCTGGGGAGGCTCCCACCCTGTGCCCTGAGACCTTTTCCAAGACCTTAACCCCAGCTGTCACTGCTTCTGAAACAGAGACCGAGGAGACTCTGACCATTTTAGAGACCCAGGACACCCAGACCACCCTCCCTGTCACAAAGTTCAGGGGGTTGCAGACCCCTTTCCCCATCACTGAGTCCAGTGACACCCTGACCCACTCCACTGGCTCCAAGGCTGGGGATACTCAGGTCACCTTTCTTGTCACAGAGTCTAGGGGCACCCAGATTACTTCCCCTGTCACAAAGACCAGAGACAGCCTAATCATCTCCTATGCATCAAAAAGCAGGGACACCTGGAACATTTCTCCAGCATCAGAGGAGGACATTCCCCTCTCCACAGAGTCCAGGGACACTCAGACTACTGTCCATGACACAGAGACGAGGGACACTCTGATCATTCCCCATACCTCGGAGAGCAGGGTGACACAGACCATTTCTTCTACCTCAGAGACCAAGACACTCACAAAAATAATCCCTTCTGACATCATGGCTGCAATCACTGTCCCTGTGAAGGCTTTGGCTATGGGAGGCAGCTCCACAAGAACTGGACAGATCACAGATGAGACTTCTCCAGGCAGTGATCCCCTGAGAGCCATCTCTGACACTCTTCATACTGATGACAGCTCTGAGGAAACAAAATGGACCACAAACCACATCTTGACATTGGCGCGCACTTGGGTGGAAGCAGAGAGCCCATCCTCTGACAGCAGCTCTTCCTCGGTCATCACCACTTCCCAAGCCCTAGGTCCTAATGCTGCCAGCAAGGTCTTGGTCCCCTGCAGCACCCCCCACATCAAGTTCTCTGGGGAAATTGAAACAGCTGCCACCATCTCTGGGACTTCAGACACAGGTCACAGACCAACAGGAGGTAGGGCCTTGCCCACCCCTGAGATATCAGCTTTGTCTGCCTACACAGAGGAAAAGTCACCCAAGCTGAGCTCCATATTCCCTACTGAGACCCTGCCCACAGTTAGCACTTCAGAGTTAGCAATCCCTAATACCACCCCCGAGGCCTCACTCCCCAACAGCACCACAGGAAAAAAAGCAATATCATCCCGCACCCCTGGCCCTACAACAGCTCAGGTGACAGTTAGCATGGGCCCCTTGGGAGAAACCTCAGCCTTCTCTCAACAGAGCTACTCTGTGGTCTCAGAAGCAGTTATAGTCTCTGCTAAAGCTGCCTCAACAGTGGGCCAAGTGACTTCCTCTTCTGGATCCTCAGCTTCAGTCTCCAGCTCTTCAAAAGGAGCTGTCATCAAGAACTCTACCCCACCAGAGCCTTTTACCACAGAAAGCACAACCAACAAGGCCTTCCCAACCAGAAGCAGCCCTCTTTCTTCTGTTCATCCAATTGTAGCTAGCAGCAGCCAAGAGACAAGCTTCACCTCAGCTAAGATCATGATTTCACCAAAGTTCCCTTCAGAGATTTTTACCAGCAAAGACATAATGAGCAGGGTTGACTCCACCAGTGAGGACCTTCCTTCTGTCCATCTGATTACAGTCAACAGCAACCAAGAGACAATTGTCACCTCAGTTATGACCATAATTTCACCAAAGATCCGTTCCAAAATTCTTACTACAGAAGGCCCAACCAGCAGGAGTCCTCTTTCTTCTGTCCTTTCAATGACAGCCAGCAGCAATCAAGAGGCAATCATCACCTCAACCATGACCACAACCTTACCAAAGGTCCCTCCAGAAGTTTTTACTACAGACAGGGTGTTTTCCACCAGCAACCCACTTTCCTCTGTCCATCTGACTACAGTCAGCAGCAGCCAAGAGACAATCGGCACCTCGGCCATGACTACAACCTCACCAAAGATCCCTTCAGAGCCTTTTATTATGGAAGGCACAGCCAGTGGGGCCTCATCCACCAGTGGGAACCCTCTTTCCTTTGTCTATCTGACCACAGCCAGTGTCAGCCAAGAAACAAGTATCACTCCAGCCATGACCAGAGCCTCACAAAAGACCTCTCCAGACATTTTTACCACAGATGGTACAACCAGCAGGACCTTCTCCACCATCAGGGAACCTCTTTCTTCTGTCCTTTCAACTATAGCCAGCAGCAGCCAAGAGACAATTGGCACCTCAGCCATGACTACAGTCTCACCAAAGTCCCCTTCAAAGGTTTTTACCGCAGACAGGGCCTTTCACACTAACAGCCCTCTTTCTCCTGTGCATCTGACTATAACCCACAGTAGCCAAGAGACAATCGCCACCTCAGTCATGACTACAGTCTCACCAATGACACTTCCAGAGATGTTTACCACAGATGGCACAACCAGCAGGGCTTTTCTCACCAGCAGGAGCCCTCTTCCTTCTGTCCTTTCCACTACTGCTAGCAGCAACCAAGAGGCAGTCATCAGCTCAGCCATGACCACAATCTCACCAAAGATTAAGAGGAAGCCCCTGATGGCTACATCCACCACTGTTTGGACAAATCAGTCTTCAGAAGTTACTGCAGGTAAGTGACTGCCCTATCTGTGACCTTTAGAGTTTGAAGATTTGAAGTCTCTGAGGTATTTACAAGCTTAAGCTTTTGGGAGGGAAAGGATCTCTCATCCACGTCATCTCTGTCTCCCTAGAAGTTCTTGCCTAAGTCAGCAATAAAGAGTTAACTGGAGTATGTAAAGGCAGTGGGGCTGGAAGTGTAGGGGAGCAGTTTTATATTTGGGCACTGCCCATAGAAATCTGAGTGGTCTTGGACCAAAGCCCTTTCCAGATCAGCCTTTCTATGAAGCTAACTGCTGAGTAGCTACTGGACACCAGCAAGGTCCCAAATTTAATCACAGCTGTTCAGGAGCCTGAGGTTGGAGGATCATGAGCTCAAGGCCAGCCTGGGCAACAGACTGAGATCCCACTCCAGACACACACACACACACACACACACACACACACACACACACACTGCACTACCACCACCACCACCACCACCACCACCACCACCACTGTGACCTTTAAGCTTTGGAAACCTCTGTTACAACCCAAGGCGCAGTCTAGCTGGAAGGGCTTGCTGGGGTTTGTGCCATTGTAGTGACTTAAATTACTGAAGTAAGTAGGGTAATGGCTGGGGCGGCAACAACAGCAGCTCTAGGACAGCAGCTAAATCTCAGGACACAAGCCTATGTCGGCCTGGCTGCTGTTAGCCTGTAGCCTCAGCTCCAGTGTCCCTCTGTCCTTATGCCTTATGCCTCACCCCTGAGTATCCTCACCTTGCCCCACAACCACCTTACTTGATGCCTTTTGTATTCTAGGCAGAGGTGATATAAAAATAGTTCACAACCAGTAAGCATTAGCACAAGATGAATGCACTCTCTGAGCTTTGGGCATCTCTTCTAACCCTTTCTCCTCCAAAACAACCTTGGGAGGAGAAAACAGATATTAGGGAGGTCATGGGATTGTCTTCAAAAGATGATAATGAGATTCAAGCAAAAGCCTGTTTGATTCTGAAGCATATAGGCTTCTCATTGTACTTTTGTATTTTTATTTTTATTGTATGCATTTAATACAGGGTCTATAGGGTCTCACTACACAGATTGGACTTGTGGTCCTCCAGTTTTCAGCCTCCCAAGTGCTGAGATTACAGGCACGCGCCACCACGCCCAGTCTCAATTGCTGTCTCAGTGCGCCCCGGGGGCGGGGCCAGCACAGTATGCTGGTAGATCCAAGTTGTTGCATCTGCCTAAGCAGGTGCTTTAATCCACTGAGCTATCTAGCCGGCCCTCTTTCATCTTTTTTTTTTTTTTTTAATGCAAGCAGAGAATATGGTAAGGTCAGATCTCTGTAACACAGCTATTCTTATTTCGCTTGACGTTAGGAAAATGTTTGTATTCATTTTATATGTTGAGTTCATCCTTGTTACCCTGCATTTTAGCTCTTTGATTTCAATCTCTGTTTTTGTAAATTGTGATAAGAACTGTTAACGTAAGATCTATCCTACCAGACTTCTAAGTGCACACAATAGTATTGTTGTCAATAAGCACTATGAGAAGCAGGTTTCTGGAACTGATTGATCTTGTGTAACTAAAATTTTATTCTGTTGATCATGAACTCTCCATTTTCTCCCCTCCCAGAAAGCTACTTATTTATTTATTTATTTAAAATAAATAAACAGAGTCTCACTATGTAGTTCAGGCTAGCTTTGAGTTCACTACATCGCATAGGCTGGCGAGCCTCCCGCCTCAGCCTCCTAAGTGCTGGGATTAAAGAGTGCACCACTACGCCTGGCCTATTATTTTGTGTGGTCAATCACTGTTTCCTTTGTCTCCCTATCACTTATTTAGCCAGTCCTGTATGGGTGGCAGTTTAGCTTGTTGCTATAACACACAGCACTGCAGTAAACAGCGCATTTCTCCTGTAGGTGCTCCATCATGCAGGATAAACTTCTAGAAGAGTAACGACTAGGTCAAATCTAATTATGTAATCATTGGAGGAAACAGATTCAAGGTGCCAGTGAAAGGGAAGGAGATGGGGCCTCCACCAGAGAAAGAAGTTCCTGGTAGAGCTGCTGAACAGGAAGGCTGGGTTAGAGGTCCACTTCTACCCTCAGCAATTTAAATGCAGGACTGGTGCCCCCAAGCCAGCTTCCCTCAGCATCTCCTGGCCAGACTCTTCCTCAACAGCCCACCTGAGATCTTCAGGGTTTGAGAATATTCTGCATCCACTGGTCCTTACTCACACTTCCCTTTGGGCATCTCCACATGTGCCCTTGGCCATGGTCCTGTTAATAAGACACTGCCATGGGTGCGATTCCCAGAGAGGGAATCCTGCCTTCTGTTTGTAGCAAGCCAGGGTGGGCACAGACATAGGCGCACATACTGGGGCATGCCGAGGTGCGAGGGGCAGAGGCTGGCACTGGAAGCACCACCTGATTCTTGACCTGTGTTGACTGACTTTCCATCTCTTTGGCCTTAATCAATGAGCAGGTGCAGATGGAGGCTTCCTCCTCGTGCGGCTGAGGGTGGCTTCCGTAGAAGACCTTACAGAGCCTGCAAAGGCAGAGAGGCTGCTGCGGCAGGTGAGAGGGCACTGTGAGGGCCAGGGGAGTAGAGGGAGAGGTTCTCCAGGCTGCACTATGTAGAAGAGCAGTTGCCACATGGAAGGATCCCTGCTGTAGGGATTTGTTGGTCTCTCAGTGGTCTCGGGGAGAAAATGGTGAGAGGATTTAGAAAATAAAGACAAGAGATGATAGCTGAGGTCAGGTGGTGGACCATGCCTGATAGGCAAAGGACCCCAGAACAGCACTAAGGGCATTTATTTATACCTTTGCGAAGTTATAAGACACAAGATTACTTAGTGACTAATAGCCCACAATGTCCAGGAAGAATGTTTTTCTCAAGATTGAGGTAGCTTGGCTGCTTTAGGCAAAGAGGCCTCATATCCTGCCCTCCCACATAGGATCAATTGCAGCTTCAGCAGCTCCCAATACCCTGCCTGCCTTGCTTCTTCCTGGTTTTCCTTCCTTGTTTCCTCTTTTCTGCGAAGTAAACAAATTCTTCTCTCCAGCCCCAGTTTCTTTAGGTCTAAGGAAGCACAGGCCTTCTAGTCCCTGGGAGGAAGATCAGTGATGTTGATGGACAGGTGCAAGTGGCAGAAGCCCAAGTCATAGTCATTTGCATGGAAAAAGGAGGTCTCAGAACCTGACAAGTGGTGTTTCCAATGATAGCGATGGCGGAGTTCCGCAGCTCACACATGAACATAAGAATTTTCTCTCTGCCTTCTCTGGTCCCAGGCACTTTAATCCGCTGAACTATTTGGCTGGCCTGATTTTTGTAATGGCCTCTGTACAAAGTACTTGGTTTCTTCTTCTTTTTTTAAAAAAAATAATTTTATTGAGAAACAAATAGCAATGAGACAGTTTCAAAACCAATTAGTAGGACAGTTTCCATAATTAATACATTGCATATTGTTGTCTTCATAGTGGTTATTCATAGTACAAGATGTAGACATGATATCCTGTCCAAACACTATCAGTACAAATCTTTCTTCTTATTGAATTAAGAGAAAGTAGCTGTATATCTATCCTATTTTGTATATACAAATGCAAAATGGTCCTTCATTTGTATCCCCTTTTTTTGTTTAGTTTTGTCAGAGATAGGTATTCTATTGTCATTTAAATATTGTAGGTGCATGAATTCAGCAAAATAATCCAAAATAGTTCAGTAGTCTATAACAGTAGTGGGTTTTCCGTAAGACCTTACAGAGCCTGGCAATGTCAGAAGTTGTTGACTTGAGCCTTTTACAGCTCAGCATATTAATATGGCTTTACATTTTATACCTCATTTTTATACTTTTTTGCTGGATGGTTAAGACCAAGATAAAGCAAGACCTATATAACAAGTAATGTAACTTTTGTATTTGATAAGGACAGTCAAATCCCCTCAGGATTTACCCTGAAACCCTGTACCACAGTTTGTAGATCCTTTGTCAGTGTCAGCCATGTGGATGAGTCACGGCCATTGCTTGACCAGTTTGCTCTCTGTGAAAGCCTGAGAGAATGCTTTCTCTCCATGTGACTCTCCTTAGGCACACTCTACATCATTGATCACTTTCTTCTGTGGCCCCATAATCTCCTTGATCAGAAAATTTGGGACACAACTGAGTTACGTGATGTTACAGTAGTTTCTCCTATGTCCTGAGTCCTTGCTTTCTTTTCAATGGCACTAATCTAGTCAGCAGTCATATCTCTTTTGGCCCCAACTCTGTACAGGGTTACTTTGCTGCCAAAATTTAATTTTAATTTTTTTTATATTCCACTTCCTGCCCACATTTCTTGTAAGAAAGCTGGCTAAATGCACCCAACAATGCTCATACCACAGTTTGAATGTTGGACTGCATTAAAATTCCCTCTACCATATTAATTAGTCCAGAGTAATTAGTGCTTAACCTCAGTCTCCTGTAATGTCTTGGGACATAGGCAAAATGTAGGTAAATTTTTATTTTTATTTTTTAATTTTTTTTACAGAGTTGGGGGTTGAACTCAGGCTCTTGCACTTGCCAGGCAAGTGCTTATTCTACTGAACCATCTCCCCGGCTGTAGGTAAAATTTTAGCCAGAATATATAACACACATAGCTTCTTGTGCAACTGCCACTGGAATTCTTATACCACACAGAAACATATGTATCCTTGTAATGGTGAGTAGCCAACATATTCAATGGAGGCCAAAATGGGAACAGCAGGTTTATTTGGAAGGTGGGTGATACCCCAACTGTTGTCAGTCGGAAACATTGCCCTGAGGATAGGGACACAGTGGCTTATAAAGTACTTGGTCCAGTTTCTAAAAGTAGAAAGTACTTTCTACAAAGGTGGAGTATAGAGCTTATCTAATCACATGGTGATAGTAACAGTTATGGGGTCATTACAGCATTTGTCAGAAACAGCATTTATTAGAAATAGAACTACTTACAAATCAAAACTGCTTAACATATGATTTTGGGGGAAGAATGAGTTCATCTAAAGTTTGATTTTAAAATGGAGTTTAGGCCACCACAGCCTGGTCTTCACTATCTACATTCCTATCAGAACTCTAATTTTCTGAGCTCCAACTAGAATCACCCATTAGGCTCTGCTAAAAGCTTCTGCAGTTTACATCTCCAAAATTTTCTATGCTCCTCCAGTGAACCAGATCTCAAGGCTTCTGAATAACATGGTCTCACCTCCTGTACCAGTCAGCTTTCCAATCACCAGGACACAATACCCAATACTGATGACTTAAAGGAGGAGAGTTTTAATTTGGCTCATGGTTTCGGAGGGTCCAGCCCATGGTAGTCAGGCTTCAAAGCAAAACAGCATGGTGGAGGGAAATCTAGAGGTCAGCTGATTAAACCTATGGCAGCCATGAAAAAAAGAGGGAAGGGACAAGCCAGGGACAAAAAAGAAAACTCTTCCAGGTCATGCTCCAGCGACTCACCTCCTCCAATCAAGCCCTACCTTAATAGAACAGGGACTCATCAATGGATAAAATGCTCACTTCAACAGGACATATACTAAAATTGGAATAGATGAACCCACTGATGAGTAGAGTGCCCCATAGCCCAGTCACCTTCTAAAAGACCCATCCTGAACACATGAGACTTTGGGGGGACATTCTAGAGCTAAACCATAACAATCTCCTTGCCTGCACCAACTATGCAAAGGGCCCTCTGCCCTGTCTTCCAGATGCCTGCTTCAAAGTCACAGTCCTCAATGGGAGCATCCAATTGGCTGAGCTTTGCCTTCCAGGGCCAGGAATAGGCAACACCTGGGTCCTCAAGTTCTTTGGAGACAAAGAAGGAATCCAGGATCAGATTTTGGATCCGAGCTCATAAATAGGAGATTGTTTCAGGGCCCAGAAGCCAGGGAGATGAGAGGCAGTTTGGTCAGCCAAGGTGCAGGCAGTAGGCCATTTGGGCCTTGTTGAGAGCAACAGTGGTGTGGGACTCTGGGCCAGAACATGCATCAGTAAGTTCCATGATCCATGTCCAAACCAAGAAGTGGAAAACGTGAAGGGCAGAGGAACAGTGGACCCTAGTTGTGCTATGGCTTAGACCATGGGACTGCATGGACCTGGGTATGAATTCTAGTCCCTATCTAGGCATCCTTGGGTAAGTTCTTCTCTTATAAAATAAGGATGATGACATAGTGACACTGGAGGAGTGTTGTGGATGCTCCCTCCGACTGTCCATTCCTGCCCTTGTCCTGTGATGAGCCTGTGGGCCATGTGGACTGGACTAGCACTTGTCTCCTTCTACTCTCCAGCTCCACTGTGAACTGCAAAACTTCCTGAAACTTGCCCACCTTTCTTTACTGCGTGTCCAGAGAAGTTGAAGAATATCAGCTGCAGCCAGGCTGTCCCCTGTGCCGAAGAACAGCCCTGCCAATGGCCTGATCCCGCTGACAGACTGCAGCTGCGTTACTGTACTGACAGGGACCCAGAAGGTTCCCATGAAGGTCAGCTGGCCCAACCCCTTACCCAGAAGTGAATGTAGAATCCTAGCTCACTTATGTGTGGGGAGGGGGTTTCCCTTGTGCCCAGCAGGGTCCTTTACTTCCAGGGCTCATGGATTGTAGTCAATAAAGATAGACTGGATCCCCCTTCCCTGCACTTGCATGTGATATTCTATGTGGGCATTTAGGTTGCATAGCTGTCTTAGTGACTTTCTCATCCCTGGGACACAATACCCGACACATACAACCTGAAGGAGGAGAGGTGGCCCTGGCTCATGGTTGCAGTTCATGGTCAGCCAGCTCCAAGGTAGGAAGGCTGTTGGAAGGGGCTGGCCCAGGAAGCTTCTCTGTCACCGCAGGCAGGAAGCAGAGTGTGTAAAGGTGTGGTCCCCGCTCAAGAAACCCTTCCAGGCCACACCTTCAGGGGCCCTCCTCTTCCCACGGGGACACCACCTCCTGATAGCAAGTCAGCTATGGTTCTGCAACAGCAAACAGCAAAACCACAAACGACACCCAGGATTTGCAGGCAGTTTTATTTATGTTGATGGGCACTGACAAGGAATCAATTATTCCTCAAAATGTCAGTCCTCAAAGACTCAGGGAGGGGGGCTTTTATGGAGTTGCAAAGGGAAATACAGAGGCAGAGTATTTGGCTGTCTTTGATTGGTTCTTACAACACGCATCATAGTAACCAGCAAACATTCCCAACAGAAGTAACAGGGACTGTAATGGGAACTATTACCTGGGCAACTAACAGAAACAAGCATATGGCAGGGTGGAGATGGGGGGCATTTTCGGCTACAGCCCCCCAAGACCCAATCACCTCCCCAGAGGCCTCCCTCTCAGCTGTTAAGAGGCAGGAGGAGGTTCATAAAGTAGCCTTGTGAAAAGAATTCCAACATTCACTGTGGTAAATGCACCAAGAGTTTGGGGTGTCATTTCTGGATCTAAACATCACAAGTAGGGCCCACAGTTTCCTCTGTCCTTTACATTCTCCACTCCTCAGTTTGGACCTGGATCACAGCCCTTACTGAGGCCACCCCTACAGTCTGCTGAACTTTGAGCTCTGTACTAGTCTCCTTATTGAATATAATTAATTTATTAAGATAAAAGATTTATTTTGAAGCATAGTTTTGGAGTTTTCAGGCCAAGGTCAGCAGACCTTGTGCTTTGAGGTTCAGGTGGGCTTGCTGCGTGACAGTACCATGGATGCGTGATGGAGCCGAAGGCTCGGCTCATGGCCAGGAAACGAAGGAAAGGGAGAGGCAGGGGCTGATGGCCCCAAAGCCTAAGGACTACCTCCTGAAGCACCCCTCACCTTTCCAAAGAGCCCTGCCGGGGACCACACCTTTACACACTGGCCTTGGGGCCACCCATCCAAAGTGGCAGCTCCCTCAGGGTAGGGACCGTTTTCATTCACCCAAAATCCCCTGAACCCATCAGGTCACCTGAGCTCAGTCAGGATCATGGGAAGTGCTTGTTGAATTGACTGAAGTTTCAAGTTCTAAGCACAAAAGCAGATTTTAAAGAAAAATCTTCACTACTCAACTATTCCACTCAAATTTTATAATTCACATGCTACTATTATTTTATTTTTTATTTTTTATTTTGGCAGTACCAGGGATCGAACTCAGGACCTTATGCTTGTCAGGCAGACACTTATGCCTCTGAACTATCTCCCCGGTCTATTATTTTATTTATTTGTTTGTGTGTTTGTTTGTTTATTTATTTATTTTTCTTTTTTGAGAAAGGATTTCCCTATGTAGTTCAGGATGGATTTAAACTCACTGTGTAACCCAGGCTGGCCTTGAACTTGTAGCAATCCCACCACAACCTCCCAAGTGCTAGAATTATAGCACCATGCCTAGTGCTATTATTATTTTTAAGTTAAATATGGATTTTTTTCTATTATAAAAGTAAAAGTTTCTTACAATTTAAAAATTTTGGGGGGAAAAAGGAAGAAAAAAAGAGAAAGGAAACGCCTGTACAGTCCCAGCTCTTCTACATGGCTCTTGTTAATGGATATATTTAGTGGCATATTTAGCCTCTCCACGTGATGGCCAGGACCTCACATCCTCCATCCCTGAAGCGGAGGCTTTGCCTTTGCTCTTCAGCCAGCTCTGCCTGCATCTTCCCCCATCGTGGGTAACATGAATCTCATCCTTCTGTGGCTCAAGTCCAAACCCTTGGAGCTGACCATTACTTCTTTCTCTTACATTTTACATCAGGGAGTATGGTTGGCTCTGTTGAATACCCTTAATCTGATCTCTCCTTACGGTGGCCACTGGCATGGCCCAGATGGTCCCAAATGTCCTTCTCTCTCACCTGACTGCTCTGGTTTCCCAGGGTTCTTTCAGATCCCTGTCTGCACATTTGTCTGCCAGCCCCAGTCTTGTCCTGGCATATGAGCCAGAGCTGGCGTTCCATGATATATGTCAGGCAGTGCCCTCCCCTGCTCCCAGTCTTCCTTGGTCCATTTGGAGGAGAAGCAGGGTTCTGACAATGGCAGTGAAGCCCTGTTGATGGGTGCTGCTCTTCCAAACTGGCTCACAAGGAGCCAAAGAGATAGCTCAGTAGAATAAGCGCTTGCTTGCCAAGAACAAGGGCCTGAGTCCAAACTGGCTCACTGACTTCTTTGTTGTCCTGGGATGCATCAGTCCTGCTAGGTCTGGGGACCCTGGTCACACTGCTTAGTTTGCTGAGAAAGCCTCTCCTGGGGACACCTGTTGGCCAGTCCTCCATCTGTATGTCCTTCACACCTTCACACCCCCAGGCACCCTGCTTAAAAATCAATCTAACACTTATTTCATTTGTTTGACTCATTATTGGACTTCTCCAACTATAATAAAGCACTTTTCCCGTTGTGCATCCCCAGTGCCTGACACACAGAAGGTGCTCAGAGCTGAGGGTGCCGCTCCATGCCAAAGCCCTGCTCAGCACAAGTGTGGTCCTTGGGTTACCAAGCACAGCAAGAGGGCGCCCTGTAAATATTGCCCCAAGCATGGAGAAAATGACAACACAACTTGCATATTGCCCTGAGGAGGGAAGCATGTGCACTCATTGGACCTCCTTCTAGTCCCAGAGGGGCATGAAAAGATTCATAAAGTAGCCTTGGTGAAAAGAATTCCACTGTTCATGGTGGTGAATGTACCAAGTGCCTATACCAGAGAGGAGAGGCCATGCAACAGGCTGCAGAGGATTCAGAGATCATGTCCCTTCCCACAGGGAGTAACACTAGCAGGGGAGGCTGGATACCAGAAAGTACACAGACTACTGAGCCTGTTTACACCACATGTACCAAAACAGAAAGTCTTTGAACAAAGCAAGAAAAAGCACAACGTACCAGTGGGGAAATGGGCAAATGACCACCCAAACTATTTGCAAAAGAGAGTTTGACTTCACTAGCAAATAAGGGTAAGTTAATGCAGGGAGGAATTAATTATTATGTATCAAAAAGATATGATTTCTAACATTCAAGGCTTGGAAGTGTGAATGAAGTTGGTGCATGCTCTCTGGGGGACAATTTGGTCCCTTATTGAAAGCCTTTAAAATGTGCATCCCTTGAACCAGCGGTTTATTGCTGATTCAGCTTCAGGACAAGATGAAGAACCTGTGCAGGACAGTGTCTAATACCCAATAAAAGAAAAAGACAAAACATCAGTAACAATGTGCAACAGTCCAGTTATATACAGTGTAGTTTTATAAAATTTACAGTAGTGCTGTGGTGCGTATTTACTAACATGAAATATGTGTACTATTTTCTCCTCTTTCTTAAAATGACAGAATCTTTTTCTTACTCTAAACTATTCTTCACAGGGCTGGTGAAGAATATTGCAACGGCAATATGAAATAGCTCAGCAGATAAAGCACCTGCAAGCAGGCACAGGGGCTGAGGGTTCAGCCTGCTGTGCCGACCCCGCTCCCGGGGCTTGCTGAGATGGCAATTGAGACTGGGCATGGTAGCGTGTGCCTGTAATCCCAGCTCTTGGGAGGCTGTAAACAGGTGGATCACATGAGTCTGATCTAGTAGTGAGATCCTAAACACCCTGTAGACCCTTCCCTAAAATACAAAAAAAAAAAAAAAAAGAAAGAAAGAAATTCTTCGTATCATGCCCAGATCTGTTTGCTCCAAAATCAAAGCTGCTCTTGTCACTGCCTAGGGTTAAAACAACAAGCATAGGGCCAGGGAGATGGCTCAGTAGAATAAGCGCTTCCCTGGCAAGCACAAGGATCTGAGTTCTATCCCCGGTTCCACAAAAAAAAAAAAAAAAAAAAAAAGAAGAAAAAAAAATAACAGCCAGCATGGTCTACAAGGGGCTGCACAAATTGGCCAACTTGTCCAGCTCCCAGTCCCTCAGCCCTAGGGCTTGTACCCTGTGTTCCTCCCATGGGGAGCATCCAATATTCCTGCACCACTCCTGCTTTGATTTGAGTGTCCACATCCAAATCCTTCTACCCCAATGTGCTCCTTTTATTTGTTGCTTCACCCTAAAATTCCTATTTATTCTTCACAGCCTAGTTCAGACATTACCTCTGCAAGATGGGCCATATTCCCTAGACAGAAGCTGATTTCTTACTCTTTACTTATGTACCTCATTTAATTTAATGTGCTGCATTTTAATTTTATTTATTTGTTTATTTATTCATTTATTTTGTGGTACCAGGGATTGAACTCAGGATTTTGTGCTTACCAGGCAAGTACTTATGCTACTGAGCTATCTCCCCAGGCCAATTTATTGTATTTATAAATTAGCTAAATTGCACCTGCTTCAGAACAAGTACCAGAGAACCCATACACATCTTTGTAGTCACAGAAGTTTCAGGTGAGGCTGAATGCCTGAATAGGATGATGGGCTGTCTGAGAAAATAGCTCTGAGACACAGCACTGGCTCTGAAAGTGAAGCAAATGGCATCCTCAGTGAAGTTAAAAAAAGACAGATAGGGCCAGCCAGCTCAGCAGACTAAAGCACCTGCTTAGGCAGGCTCAAGGACCGGGGTTTGATCCCTGACATACCATTCCAATCCACCCTCCAGGTACACTGAGGTGGCTACTGAGATTGGGTATGGTGGTGCGTACCTGTAATCCCAGCGCTTGGGAGGCTGAAAACAGGAGGATCACTACGAGTCCAATCTGTGTAGTGAGACTCTATAGACCCTGTGGTAAAAATACATTAAAAAGACAGATAAATTTAATGATATTTCAACAGCAAACAGAAACTTTGCAATAACATCCAGGATTTGGAGGCAGATTTATTTTATGTTAATGAGCACTCATTAAGATCTCTCCCAAAATGTCAGGCTCTGATCTCTGGTGATCTAAGGCTTATATGGGATAAGCAAGCAGTAAGTACAGAGGCAGAAAGACTTTGTCAATTGGGGGGTGATTTATACACTGTGCATCATACTGACCAGCTGTTTCTAAGAGACCAGAAGCAACCAGAACTGAAACAGAAACTATTACATGGGCAACTAAGAAACTGAAGTATACCAGTTAGGGGGACCATTTTCTGATATAATATAATGTTATGAACCTGCATTATGAAGCATGAATGTTTAAGTTAAGAAATTACTGCAGTAAAGACATTGCCAGGGCTGGAGATACAGCTCAGTGGCATGACATCTGCTTGGCAAGTGCAAGATCCTAAATTTGGTTTGTTTTTTTTTGTTTTTTATTTATTTATTTATTTATTTATTTATTTATTTATTTGTGTGTGTGTGTGTGTGTGTGTGTGTGGCCAGCCCAGCCCACCAGGGGGCGGGGCTGGCTGGCATGTGGTGCTGGGGGATTGA